GTAACCTGTCTCCTTCCCAACCTTCCCTCACCACGTAACCTGTCTCCTTCCCAACCTTCCCTCACCACGTAACCTGTCTCCTTCCCAACCTTCCCTCACCCTGTAGCCTGTCTCCTTCCCAACCTTCCTTCACCCCTAGTTCGTATCGGAGGAAATAATGTCGACGTTTACTTGGGCACGCTGAGTTGCACACTCACCAATTTCTTCTGTGCCTCTTCAATCTTCCTATTATTTTCCTCCAGTATTCTCTCTAGTTCAGTGCGCTGCTTGCGCTCTTCCTCCTGCAAGCACAATGTGCACAGTGAGACAGGGCCGCTGCGCGTGCAATAGCAGGGAGGTGCAGAGTCCCGCTCGCCGGCAGGGAGGACGAGCAAGGTTTTGACGCTTCTCTCTCTCTCTCTCTCTCTCCTGTGCAAAGGGAACCCGAGTTCGCCCTCGCAATGTCCGGCTTCTCTTGCCGCTGAACGTTTGCATTTATGATCGAAATCAATAATCAACGCTGTGATGCACGGCAATCAACTGCATGCACCAGCCATGTATGCACATTTCACAATCACACGGTCACTACCTGCTCCTACGATTTTTGAATGAGCGTTAACCACTAGTTAAGATGCCCTACGCACCCTAACTAGGTTCTGCAATGCGACAGGTGCAAGAAAATATATGAATTGTTTATCGATAAAGAGGATTAAGCTACCACATGAGTGTCTTTAATTCTGCAAACACTGTTATAATCAGAGACCGGATAGTACCAATACAAAAGCTGAGGGGGTGGAAATCCCCAAAGAACCACACATACCTCGGATGCACACGACATACACGCACACGCACGGTAAATGCACGCACACAATTATACACAGGAGTGGCACACGCGATGAACAGCCACTTGCACCATACGAACGCTGAAAACACGCGAGGTACAAGGGGTATCAAAGTGAGAGGAAAGCACACGCTCACGCACACCGATACACACGCCAGTAACGTTGTCGAACCAGATATTTTCCACCCCCTCATTTGGGTTACATACCACTGCGGCAGGGTCGCCAGCTCGTCATATCTTCACAGCTACAAGCAACACTATGTGATGAGTAAAAATACCTGCAAGTGCCCAAAGTTCTCGGCTCTCACACCGCGCTTCACGCATGCGGCTAGTATACTTGTTAATACATGTAAAGAGTCCAAACGGAAATGTACATATATTTACACGAACATTAAGCCTAGACTGAACTGTACACATCTCTCGTTGTCGGCAGCACTTCTTACCAGTAACATCGAGAAAAAAGAACGCAAGGTAGTCAAGATCTGAGGCGTTCATCTATATCCCACGATCCTGCTATACTGCTCTAGACACAAAATGAAAGCAAATTGGTGACTGGGGTTATTGAAAATATTGGGAACCTAGACCAATTGCCCTATTCTTCCTACATGGCATACATTTGATCTTTTTTTACGATCAGGGATGCTTCCATGGTTTTATTTGTTCATGGATATATGTGTTTCAGCTATCACATGAAAATCACTGCCTACTGCAATATCAGCTAGAACAAATAGCTTGCAGCTTGTACGGGGTGAAGAATGGTAACGAATATATATGTTATAATAGGGTATATCCCTTCCCGGCCCATGTCTGTGTCTCTTATCTGATTCCAAAGCTAGTCCACCAGTTATTAGCTAGTGAATTTCCCAATGTCATCCGAGCACGCAGGATATATTTGCATATATAATAAATTGACTCATTAGTTACAGAAATTCCTTTATCAGTAAAAAATAGAAATAAAAAATATGACCATAGCATACTGCATAAGATATGTGGTTTTGGTCCCAGATTGACACTGATTTATGGTAATAGTGACTGCACATGACTGCAATGACTTCACAAGAATAGTTTAAAGGGGGAGATGAGTCTACACAGGGAGTAGGAACAGATATATTCACAGGAAGTATGTGCACATGTGTAAATAGTCTTAACCCAATTTAACACCACCAATCTCACTAGACTGAATCGTGTAAAATGTAACTACCAACCAACTCAAAATTCTGTTTAATAGGTTGAATAAGCCAACTTAAAAAAGAAGTGCAGTTATTGGGAAAGTTTGCTTTCCTATTTGCACCAGCCAGTAATAGGACGAAATTATAAAGTTCAAACACATTCTCACACCACAACTTAAAAACATAAAACGGTGAATGAATATACTCCAACCACTCCTATCACCGTTCTACACACAATATGACTTTTAACACAAGAAACCCACTCCTGCCATTTCTTCCCCATTCACCGCTCTACCCAGAATGAATGACACCCCAACAGACAAAAAATCACTACCCCCGCTTCACCATTCCTCACCCACTCACTGCTCTACACATAATAAATGAACCACTAATGCCAAAAAACCCACTCCCTCCAGTGCCTGTCGCCCCGTTACAGAAAGGACGGCCGGGTGGCCAGGACGTTCAGGAACGGCACACATCGCCGTGCATCTGTCGCGACACGTGTTCATCCGATGCTGGCTTACCTGCTTCTGCTTCTGCCGCTCGATCTCCTCCTGCCGCTTGATCTCCCACTCTGCGATCAGCTGCTTCTCCATCGCACGCTTCGCTTCCTCTACGCGCCGCTCTACCTCCGTCTCGATCTCGCCCTTCCTCTTCTCGATCTCCTCGGCGACGCGCTTGGCGACCAACTCCTCTACACGCCGCGCCGTCTCGTCCTCCACCATCTTGTCCTCCATCTCCCGCTGACGTCTGAAAGATGATAGAGGAGAAGCGGTCACGCCGAGATTGCACCTCCACTAACTATGCTACAGGGTATCAACCGAGAGATATGCAAAGTTTCCTTTTACGTGGCTAAGCTAGATATCTGTTTATATTAATTGTAGGACTGTCATCGATACCCACCTCATCGATAAATCGCTATGGATTTGCGTTCGATATCGATATCAAAATAAATCGAAAAATAGCGATCCGATATGTACAGTATATCACAATAAAGAGTTGGTACATCCTTTTTCTGGTAAAAGAGTGTTGTTTATTACTTTTTGTGGCTAAAATGTAGCCAGCGAAGCATCGGTAGCATTTTTGACTGAGCACCGCCATTATCGGAAGTAGTGCAGGGCGCATATAAAAATACTTCGCCCATGTTGCTTTTAAGCACAGCGATGTATAAAATGCATAGTTATCATAAGTAGAAATAGAATACAATACATGTATTCTCAAATAAGTTACGTATGAGTTTAGTGTACTTTCACGGCTCTGTATCAATATTTTCGTAGTTACGCAGGGGTTGAAATTAGAGTTTTATTATGGTATCCACGTATTACATGTTAAATCGAATCGGATCGAAATATCGAAAAAAATAATATCAATAATCGAATCAAAATAATTTGATACCAATAACAGCCCTAACTTAATTGTGAGAATTGTGTCAATGCAAGCACAACTTGAGGACTGTACATGCAAGATTTCAAACTATCTTCTAAGTTCTAAGTCTAACCCGATTAACTTTGGCCTTTGGCCTGGCATGCATACAAAAATACACAGTGCAGAAACCTATGTTACGCCTCCTTCGGCAGTTTCAATTTGAATTGTAAACAACTGCTGATAAATACAGATTCAACCAAGATTTTTATTAGTAACCAGAAAGGAAACTGGGGCCCGTTTCACAAAGCTATCGTAAAAACACCATCTTAAGGATATCCTTAGAATTCTTGTACGAGAGCCTAACGCTGTCCTAAACGTCCCTCATTAAAGTGTTTCACGAAACTTATGCCGATGCGTTGTTAGACAGTCCATAAAATTCAGCTGTAACGATGTTGCTGATGGCATAGACTGGTACCCTATCTCTACACCTTGCTACTAGATAGTCTATATATAGAGACATGTTACAAGTCTAATGGCGACCCAGCTCACTGTGAGTTGCTACGCTAATCTCTCGCGTCATTTAGTTTTAATAAATGTAGATACAACAGCGTGCAAACTAAAAATAATAGGTTAAAAGTATTATTAAATGCCAAGTAGCTGAGAAATAATTAAACTAAAGCAAGGTTGTCATATTTCCTGCAACTAGAACTACCACAAATGACGTATTGACTGAACAAAAATGTAACATAAATTCTGAAGGTTTAGATTTACATTTACTTTGATACAGTATTGGCGCCATAGGATACAGTAATTACATACACGAACAGCCGAAGCACATGTAAGGTGCAAGGAAGCATTTCATCTCTTCAAAATCTGCTACCACAATAAGAAGCTTCTTAGCCACACTTAACCACTGCGCGTCATGCCTTCACAGGCCTTGCACAGTATTTTCGTAGACACAGAGAAGTTACCTTCTCGGCGGGTTTTCGCTTTACACTACTGCTTGCCAAAACAATGAAAACGCGGGAAATCTCGCGTTGCTTGCTGTACAATAGCCTAAGTACTGCCCCTGACCTGTCCTTAAGATTCCTCCTTAATAGCAATGTCGTTGAGTTAGCGAGACGTTTGTGAAACGTGGAAACTTAGCGAGGCTTTCGTGAAACACTATATATAAGGATATCCTAAAACCCTTCTTTAACCCATCACTAACTTAACGAGCGCTTCGTGAAACGGCCCCCTGGACAACCTAATATGAATTTGGTGATAAGGTTCTATACTTATAAATATAAGTGACACAAATGTCAGTTATTCTAGCAATCGTCAACAGTGCAGATTAGATACATATCAGGCAATTAAAGATGAGTAAATGGAAGCAGAAAGAATCTTATAATGGGAAAAGCGAGATATCAGGACTGAATTAGGATCAGTACATGCCATCTTTCAAATGATGGGAAACTATACAAATTTTATCATTTGGTTGGTATCTTCGTGGTACAGTATAATTCAAGGAAACAGATTAACATGACTGTGCTTATACACCTGCACACGCGTGCAGGGTGCAAAATTAACTAGAGTCCGGAGTCAAATACTTCCTTATTTACTGTCGAACTCCCCGATTTGACATATGCAGCAGGGTGCGAAATTAACGGTAGTCCGGAGTCAAATACTTCCTGATTTACTGTCGGACTCCCTGATTTGAAATTTATGCAGGAGTCCGTGTGACTCCCTGAAAATTCTGCCATACTAACTAGTTCGTTCCGGAGAACGGCCTTGCGGAATTACTGTATTTTGTCAGCTAATGTGCAAAGAAAATTTGGCAGACGTGCAACTGCATGAATCTGAAAAATAAGCACATGCGATATTGTTAATATCTTTAATTTTGAACCTCAGACTGCGGACTCCCTCTTTTTGAGAGTACGGAGTCCCTTGGACTCCCTTGTTGCTATACTACTAGTTTGTTCCAGAGCACAGCCTTGCGGAATTACCGTATTCTTTTCAGCAAATTTGGCAGACGTGCACCGCAAATGTCCTGCAATGTCCAAACGTGTAATCAACAGCGGGTGTTACAGATAGCCAGCATTTGCCGTGCTTGCCGCTAGTGCGAATGATGTACGTGCGTTATGGCCAGCAGTGGTGTCGATTGATGAACGGGCCCGATTGTTTCATGTCTGTGGCGCAAAGTGATGTCGTGTGTGGAGCACGTTTATGACTGCGTAGGGATGACAGGCACCTGGGAGAGGAGAACACTGTTATGGTTTTCAAAAAAAAAGGTTTTGGGTTACTTGTGTACTTGCATACAAAAATATCACTCGCGACAAATTTTTAATAGACTATATATATTGCTTTTTGTTTAACATCCGAATATATTGTTTACTAATTGTTTATATATGTTACGTCTTTTGTTTCATGCTTATACTTAGTAGTTTAAATTTGTTTTGTTTCTTTTTGTACGTAGCATTTAGTATATATTTTTTGCATTTATAATTAAGAATGCAAAAGAAACACATTCTTGTTAGTTATATTTTAATATTAAATCTTCAAAATAAGCAAATGCGTGATTGTTAACATCTTTAGTTTTGAACTTCAGACTGCCGACTCCTTCATTTTGCTGGGGACTCCCTCTTTTTGAGGGAGGGAGCTGGGCTCCCTTGTTCAATGATAATTTCTACCTCTGCGCATGCATGCACACATACTTACATTTGTCTTTGCCTCTCAATTTCTTGCAACTTTTCATCTTCTTCTTTCAATTTTGAACTGTTTGCGAGGAAGACACGTCTGTCTAGTGCCCGACCAAATATATCTACCCTCTCGGGTGTTGAACTGCTGCCAGATCGCCTTCTGTGTAAAGAAACAAAGACAGTAAATATCGTCTTAATGATTATGTATTCTCGATATACTAATAGTAATAATTCCAGGTAAATGCCGTTCAAATGCATGCTTTTTTGCAGCTAGCCCGACCAGGCTGTGCGACGGATTGTCTATACAGCCTGACACCCTTCCATACAAAAAACCTATCACCTCTGCAGATCTAGATGAATAACTCTGTATATCTGAAATAAAACTATTCTATTACCACCTTTGACTTGCCTTGTTTGAAATATGAACGTTAACTCACAGTTGTCCTGCATCTAGACTACAATTTATCTCTTAATTCATTGTATAATCTGCTATTCCCCCGAGCATATCAACTTAACCCGCCAT